CCTCATCAGTTTTTTGAGGGCTAACATTAAGGTTTAAATGAACAACTTCATCCATGTTTCCAGGCGTTGTACCTGATCGCTACAAACGGCACTCCAGAGCTGCAGAACCCCGAGAGGCTGTCGTCTGTGTTCAGAGACTTCCTCAACCGCTGTCTGGAGATGGATGTGGACCGCAGGGGCTCTGCTAAAGAGCTGCTCCAGGTACATTCATGCACGCACACACACTTTTGTGACATGTTATATCTAGTAGATTTAAAAATAGAAATAGTTAAACGCAAGCTGTAATACCACCTCCATGTTCTTATCCCAAGTTATGAAAGACTAATCCTTTATCACAGCCCTTTGGCATCTCATTTAGAAACCCAGGATGGCTCTGCTGAGTGTCATACAGATACTCGTGGTAGCATCTTTCTTTATTCTGTCTGACACATAGTTAATGTAAAAAAAGATTTGGCTAAGGTTAGGCAGAAAAATCAACATGGTAGAGGTTGGAGTAAAGGTCAAACATTTGAGGGATTCACTGGGATTCAAGGCCAAACATCCTCGTTGAAGATCCTTGCTGTTTGCACTTTGTCCAATTGATATATAGAAATATTCAGTTTGTATCACTGATGGTCTCTTTACATTTTGAGGTTATATCGAGCCATCAGCCTTAATTTGAGTCTGTGTCATAACCAGCTTAAAAAATCTTCATTGGAACTCTAAAGGAACCCAAAATGATTTGGCCATGAACAGGCACATCTGCAGACATTTGTTTCAGGCTCTATATTAACGTCTCCTCTCTTTTTTCCTCTGCAGCATTCCTTCCTGAAGCTGGCGAAGCCCCTCTCCAGTCTGACGCCTCTGATTGTAGCTGCAAAGGAAGCCATAAAAAACAGCAGTCGCTAGGGTGTGCCCTCTGTCCCCACCTGAGGCTGGAGCCCTGCCTGGGATGTGTGCATTCATGGGGGGCAGGGGCTTGGGTGTGTGCGCGGTGGGTAACGTGACAGTGACAGCACAAGGAAGGCAGGCAGGGGGGGGGGGGGGTTGATTGTGTGACATACAGTGACAGCACAAGGACATAAGACCCCCAGGCCTCACATGTAGGACTGACATCTGGCCTTGCAGCCTCTCGGGCCCCCATGCTGCTGAACAGTCTTTGCCTCCTTGTTTACTTCTCCAGCACTCTGTACATGTAGAGCAGTCCATCACAAGTGTGTGTGTGTGTGAGCAAGTGTGTGCGTGTGTGTACAGAAACTGTGCACATCCCTGTGTGTGATATGTCTCATGCAGAAGTGGCTCAGAAAAAAAAAAAACAAGAAAAAACAGTGAAAAATCAGAAAACGTGCTGAATTCAAGAAGGAACTCCAGGAGTGAAGAGGAGAGAGTGATGAAGAGTCTGGTTTGAGAGTTTCTTTCCTCTGGTCCACCAGTGGAGCACAATCAGGCCACACCTGCACCTGCTTATCTGAGAGAGCGACTCTGAGACCCCCCTGCCTGCATGACTTTGGCTCTAAGGAGAACCACGGCTTCTCCTCTGCAGACTGACACATCTCGAGGCGGCATATTTGTGTGTGTTTGTGTGTGAATGTGTGTGGGGGTGCAGCTGCAGCAGAAACCGTCAGGTGTGATTTTACATGACCTTTACCAGCTTTAACCACATCCTTCATTAATCTGCTTCACATCAGAGCAGGGATCCAGGTCTCACACTCATTCTGTGACCGAGTCACTGGAGTTCAGGTTAGCTTTTGTTAATCCGCTGATTTTCCTCTCTGATTATTTTAAATACCGAAACACTGTTGTGTCACATTTTGCCTGCATAACACCTTGAATCTAACCATAGGCGTACACGGCATCCATAATACCTTCCAACTGAAGGTTGCACCTGCTGATATTTAATTCTGGAAACCTATCATACATCCTGTCTCACCAATTTAAGAGGGGAACGCTTTTCAATAAAAGGTACTGGGGATGTGGCAGAATTACTCAAATTATACAAAATAGTGTCAGCCTTACCAATAATGACGCAATTTATCTGCAAAATCAAGTCAGAAGATCGTTCATAACTGCTTGCCAACATCAACTAGAGCATTCATAGTGTACAAGAATCTCATAGAGGATGAATATATTACAGACACTCAGTATGTGTGCCTCTCTTTTTTTATGATATTGGAAATAAATCAGAACTGTGAGGCTAATTTAACAGCTTTCTTAATTAATATGAAGCTTTATTTTTTTTTAATACCAAACTGTAAAAAACTGCAAGTTAATTCCCCTCCACACCACAAGGAGACACCATGCAGTGGTTAGGCGTTCTCGTGGCTCCAGTTTAGACTTTACATGGTTGGAAAGGTTCTCATTTTAATCTCTGTTTGTGTTGATGGATTAAGGTGCAAACAGGGGGGGGGGGGGGATAATATCTCAGACCAGTGGTTCTCATCTGGTCTAGCCTCAAGACCCATCACCACCTACTCAGTGACAAATCCCCAATCTATTGACTCTCAATGTATTGAATGAAAAATGGCTCAATTTGTTCCAGAGATAGAAAAAGAAATCCATGTAGTGTATGTGAAATCACTAGAGAAAACAGTCTTTGAAAGAAGTGAACACGTTTGCCTTTATAAGCAGATCTGTTCGGCTCTGAATGCTTATCTCAGTTTGATGCTTCCATGCGCCGACATTTTGCTGCACGCCGACACGCTGAGGTTTCTGTGCCTTTTTTTTCCTTAATCTATAAAGCCAAACTGGTCCAACGAATGGGCCACATTAAAAATGCTTACTCAAACTAACTTTCGGCTAATTTACAAACAAAACAATTGACATTTTAAAATGAGTGTTTGTGGGGCTTCCTGTTTTTATTGAGAGTTAGCCTCAAGTGGACACTTGGGGAACTGCTTTTTATTTTTTGCACTTTAGCATTACCTCCATTTTTCAACACTAGAGCATGCCGCTTGTTAAAACACAAACTCCACTCTTCTTTTTAGTACTAATATGATTATCTTGCTGTGAATGGTGGCTGGCAACCAGTGTGAAGGTGCACCACCACCATCGACTGTGTTGGAGTGGGAAAGGACAACCCTTCAACTGCACGAGAAACACATGTCCTTGGAAATAAAACTAAAAATGAACTTTTTGCCGCAACTTTACCCCCCCCCCCCATGTACATATGTATCTGAGACCCACTGAAAAAAGCTCAACAACCAACTTTAGGGTCCTGAACCGCCAGTTGAGAACCACTGTGTTAGTCTTGCTAATGAGCCTTTGTTTCTTAGAAATGTGGCACAATGAAGGTCAAGTTATTTTTGCACCTGCAGTGAGTTGGAGGTCTGGTGCCACACACACGGTTTCTTTGAATGCCCCATGCATCACTGTGACCAACATTTTAAACAGGAGCGATTCCCCTTTGACTTAAAACATTAAAAGCTGAATTCATATTTAAATAAAAGGTTATCTTCTATTGCAGAGAGCACGATATAACTGTGACTTATCCAGAATGAGCGCCACAGATGTCCTCCTTACCTGAACACATAATACCATCGTCTCTGCAGACGTCTCCTCTGTTTTTTTTTTAAATGCTGCTCACACATGCTTCAGTGACTTTTTGTCTCTGTCTGGTGTCTTATGTAACCTTTTTATTTTTCATGCAATCCCTCTGTTTTGTAGTGAATCCATGTGGCAGGAAAGAGAGGGGGGAATGTTATCCACTGAGCGAGTATCGAGTGCCATTTCATGATTGTACCTTGTAGAGCGCTGAAGCTGTCGTCGAGGCTCTTTTTTCTTCACTAGAATTACTTCCTAACGTGTTTCAAACTCACTCCTGTGCAGAGGTCATCTACGTGGAGTGGGCATTTCATGGCTTTGTCAGGCTTTGTCTCCCATGTAGCATCTTTCCGTGTGTGCGTGTGTGTGTTTGTGTGCGTTAGGGGGGCTACCTCAGTCTGCACTAGAAGATGCCTCACTCATGTTGTCCACCTTGACTCTGAGGGTGCCGGGTAGCTGCTTTAGTCCTATTGTACCTCCATTTGTACAGCTGATGTACAGAAGATGAAGGAGTGATGTTTAGACAGGAGGATGCGACAGAATTCATGCATGTAAAACAAAAACTATACACTGTATCTCATCTTGGAATAGGTTAAGATTGTTAGGATATGTATGTATGTATGTAAATATGACGGGAAAACACCCCTTTTTTTCAGAAGTATGTAACTTTAAATGACTGTAAGCAGGTTGCTCAATTGTCTGTATCAATAAATGTTTTGCACCCTGGATGAAAAGGAAAAGAAAAAAACGAACCCACACACACGCCGTCTCTGCTCTCCTGGATCTCCTGTTTGGGCTTCGTATGGGACACTCCTTCATCTGGACAGAGAGCCCCAAGAACGCAGCACTCTTGAGTGTTAGTACATGTGTGTGCGTTTGTGTGTGTAGGTAGGTGTGTGTGGCCTGTCAGGAAGCTCCGCTGACCGCCGGGACGTTTTTTTTTTTTTTTGTTTTTTTTTGGGGCTCCATGTACAGGTCTGAACTATATGAGCACAAAAGGTGAATTTTTTTGTTTGTTTTCGGTACGAGAGACACCGCTGCTGTGCCCCTTTTTTTCTGTGGTTGCTCCTGTACATTCCTCTCTTCTGAATGTGTAAACCTGTACATGTGGTGTGAAAATTCCTCTATTAATGTGTATCAAGAGAATGGAACAAAGACAAAAAATGTTGCTTTTTAAATTATTATCATTATTATTATTATTATTATTACTCTTATTATTGTCTAGCTTTGTAAAAAAACGACTGCTGATCCATCGGGCATACCTCAGCAGGCCTTTCCCCCATCTTTGAAAAAGGACAACTGAGCAACGGGGAAGTGAGGTTTTGGATAAACTATTTTTAATTGTGGTTGAAGCAATAGACTTTTTGAACTTTGAATTGTGCATGGCTGTGTCTTGAGTGTAAAAAAAATATTGCAGTTTGGGAACTGGACTGAAATAAAAAGAGGAAGAAGACCAAGAGTTGTGGTAATGATTGACGGCGTTTATGTTTCATGGGTTGATTTTTCATTTATTATGTATACATTTCTTTAATTATCATGAGTGAAAAAACCCCAATAAGATATATAACTGAGAAACATATGACACATGATGAAAGCACGTTTTTCTGACTTTTGAAGAGACATTATAATGAATGTTAAGACTTGAATTACATGTTTTTGCCATTTCTCTCACAGTATCGAGTGTAAAATATAAAAAAAAAAAGGAATGATTCTTTTAAAAGCAACTTATAAAACGTCAATATAAAATACTTATAAGTCATAAAAATAAAAAAAATCATTCAGTCCAAGTATGCCCTGCTCCCATCTCAACAAATAATACAAGAAAAATCAACAATGTGCAATAATCTGTGTAAAAGTTTGCTCGTTGTAGTAAGTCGTCCAGCTGACTCCTCCCACTCACTTGATGAGGTTACATGGCGGTTAGCTGCGTTGCCGTGACAATCCTCAGACTGATGTTCCCCTGCATCTCGTCAGCCATCTGTCGCCCTTGTTTCCTCAGCTGAAGCCTCTGAGGCTCCATCGTGTCCTTCACCGAGCCGGCCAGCACCACCTGACCCATGAACTCGTCCTTCACGCTGTTACTGTTCCACACCTGATCAAGACCCAGGACATGAGAATTTTAGAGTAAGAAATTGATATAACTGATAGAGGTTTTGTGACTCTGATTTGATTATGTTAATGATGTCTGAAGGTAAAAAATGATGTCCTTAGCTCTTGATCACAGTCAATTACAAGCTGCCATTAGACCTAACAGTCGTCATATGTGAGCTTTTCCTGGTCATTGATATACTCTTCATTTGATCTTAAGGGTGCGCTATGGAGATTTGCTAGTGAAATTTGAAAGTTGGAGAAGTGAAACAATTCTATGCTTTATTTTCTGAATACACAAAGTTTACTCAAACAAAAAATGGGTCCCTGGATACTGTTTAGAGATTAAAAGCTACCAGGAGAGTTTCCAAATTTGAGTGTTGAGTCGCTGTCAGGTGCAGCCACTTGATTTCATGGGACCTCTGGGATGAATCTTATCTACAGTAACAAAACACTGTGTCTTGCACTCTGCGTGTTTGTTGTTTTGGAATGGGCAAGTGTCATATGTCATTATAATCATGTATGCAGCAGAAGCATAAGTAAGAGTTGCTGAGATTGCTTCAGGAAATGACAGCAGGACCACAACAAAAATCTTCCAATCTGGGCAAGACGGGTATTTTGGCTTTCGACTCATACTGTGTGAAGAGTTCTAAAACTGTCACAAGTCGTAAAGCCTGTTTGTTTGTTTATCCTGGTTTATCATGAAACAACTGACTGGCCAATTTAGCAAGGCTGCCTGTTGTTTGATGAAAGTCTCAACAAAGACTACAAAAACATCACATTTTTCCAAGTCTCTTTATGTTAAATGAAAATGATTCATCTCCCTTTTGAAGCTGAATATTGAAACTATTTTGTGCCTTCCAGCTTAAAAGAAGGTGGGTTTTTCTCAGTCTGAAAAGTCGACATTTTGATAACAATCTGACTTAGACATACAATCATTTGTGCCACCGGTCATTATAGGATAGATAACAGCCAGCAGGACCAGAGAGACGCCCTCTTACCTCTATAGTTATTGGCTTTCTGGGATTCTTTCTGTAGAAGATGGCGCTAGTTGCAAACTCTGGTTGCAGGGTGTCCTTCTTGATGGTGGACTGTACTGAGCGGCCCTCGCAGGATATGATCACATAGGGGTCTGCACCTGCATGAAAACATGATCAGAGCCATCTCAGCAAACTTAACAGGAGAGGTACAGGTCGATCAAACTGAGCAGCATGAGATATTTTGGTGAAGTCTGGCGGCTTGTGTGGAGTCCACTAACCTCCTGGACTTTCCTGGTCCTGCAGCCCCTCGGCTCCATGGACGTAGACATGAGACACAACTTGTGGATACCCGAGGAATGAACTCCAACATTTCACCTTTGGCTTATCGTCTGTCAGCTCCCTGTGAGAGTAGAGGAATATTTAAGGGATAAAAGGGACAAGATCAAAGAAGATTTTCCTGTATCCTGGTACTCCGGCCTCGCTAAGTGAAAGACAAAAGAAGTGACATTCTTCTGTTTCTCAGACAGGAAACTGGTAGGACTCTCTGACTTGGATGACCTTTATGTGAGCAAATGTGATTTGGTTCTGTGTTTCGGTCGGCCAAAGAAAAAGTCAGACACAAAACAAATTTTTGTCCAAGAAAAGCAGTATGAGAGATTTGTTACTTTATAATTAATTTAATATAGATATGATTCCATCATCTTTTTTTTCCCCCAGAACACTCATCTGAGTGCTTTCTTTGGATGGCATCCATCCTGCAGAAATGAGCAGTCAAAAAACAGATGTGCTCTTCTCGCTCTCCCTGCAGTCTCTCTTTAGATCTGGGAAAAACCCAGCTGCTCACTAAGTGACACAGAGTCGACGGTTTGAGCATCACAGCTGTTCATACCTGCATCCTGAGTCCACATCGGTGAAAACACGGATCATGTAGTCCCCCAGTGTCTGAGGTGCGAAGGTAGTGGGGATGATGACGTAGCGTCCCTTTTGGAGCATGCTTCTCATGAACACCGTGCGGGCGTTGATGTAGGTGGACGTCGCAACAATCTTCTGCGTCAGGACGTCATGCATGCGGTACTTTCTGTTCAGCTCCACCTGTGAAAGGAAACACATTTCATAGATTGTGTATTTCAAAAATATGAGAATTAATCCTTGCCTTCATTTGTCAAACATATTGTTCAGCAGGTGATTTAAACAATGAGCGCATTTACTTTGGGTTCATGATTGGGTTATGCATCATCATGGTTATGTGTTTGCACATGTAAACATCTAGTCCCAGGTCACGCTGACATTAACACACTTTATCCTGTTGTCGGTATAGAAAAAAGTAGCTCCAAATGCAGGACAAAGCTGAAGTTTATCAGAATCAATGAAGCAGGAGCTGAATAATAAGGTCAGTCAGGTTCCATGTAAACATCATGTACAGTTCATGAACAGAACAAGAATAAAACTAAAACACTGAATTGAAGAATTTTGGGGTTTGACGGACTTCTTGATTAGACTATATCTCATCATGCGACACAAAGTTAAGAGTCTTTAAGCTCCTGTGAGGAACTCTCAGTTTGAGCCAGATTTGGAAAAAGGCTGTATGTCTGATCACTTTGCTTATCTTGTCCTAAATGTGTAGTGAGCGTTTTCTGACAACAACAAAAATGTCATCCTGCTATCTAACGACACTGTCAAAGTAAGAACACCCTATGTGAATATTTGCTGTGAAAAAAAGTTACTGTTTTTAAAGTCTGTTTCTTCAGCATGTTCTGAATGATAATGTCTGACACCTACCCTCACCTACAGTCGTTAAAAAACATTACAAAGAAATAATCGATAATGTCGCTGACTGTTTAATTATCCAGTTCATGAAGAGACATCAACATTAGTTTCAGTCTGTTTTTATTTACCAGGGAGAAAACTCCTCACATGTGCTTTAAATAAAGTGTGATATATGATGTTACACAATATATGCACTTATGTATAAATTACATGTTCATAATATAGCGATGTAGAATTACACTTTGATTAAACAGTGTCCAGGACAGAAATAATTCCTACACAGATTATTCTGCCTCCTTGTGGCAGAACAATGAATTGAAGCTCGATTTACATGGATGTGCATTGTATTACTGTGTTATTTAAGATTCAGAGAGAATTATAATTCAGTGCCGTGCAGCATAATAAATGCACAAGTAAGACAGGAAAAGTTTCATCTAACAAAAATAGAGAAACATCTTTTAAAACCTGCTGCATGTTCTTCTTTTTTAACAGACACAAATCATAGCCTAACCCTAAACTAAAGTGTTTCTCTGAGGTGATAGGCTGCTCTCAGATGTCTACTGATTCTTTATTATTTTTATGTTGTTATTTGTTGAGTATTCAGCCTCGATTTTGGTCGACTGAAGCCAAAAAACGTTGCTGAAACACTTAGCTGAGACTACATACTGTGTGGCTTTAAGTCCCTCAGCTACCAGTGGGCTACGTCCCAAATAAGGAAGCTAAAAGTGTAGCGAGTGACAACATAACAACAGAGCGTTGACAGGCTGTCTGGAGTCCGTCAGATGAAGAAGGAGGATTCATCACTTACATGATGACCATACATGACAAGGGTTAAGTCCAGATCACAGAAGCACACAGCTTCATTTAATCACATGCTCCTCGTGGCAGCAGCTTTTCTGCCCCCTTTGGCAGAGCTTAAAGTATGTTGGCATGATAAGAGTGTGCAGTGTGTGTTTTTTAAACTGAACCAGATCTATGACGAGTTAATCACACTACGGGAAATGTGACGTCAGTTTCACCGCAAAGGTTGCAAGGCCTCATTATAATGTGACAATCTAATCCCAGCGGTGGGATAAGATCTGGTTTGGCAGGTTCTTACAGTTGCTTCAGTGGACTTTACAGTTTAACAAATGGTTTTCTTTTAAACACGTCTCTAAGTTGTTCTGTTTCTTCTGTTATAATGTTTGCCATGCTGAACACAAGTCCAATGTAAAAGAGTTGAACTTTTTCAGCTTTTTTGGGAGGTTGTGGTTTAAATGTTCACATTGTGTTGTAACTTGGAAGGAATGTAATAACATGGTCTTTTTTTTTTTTTTAAACTCCAGCAACCAACAAATTTACCCATTATCCGTGAGATGTCTGTAATGGCTGCAGCAGAACCAGAACACAGGAGCACAAAGTCTTCCTGGAAGCTCAAATGACTTTGTTCCCTCTGTGTTTTTCAGCTTGAAACAATCAGCAAAGTATTTGCTTATTTCTAGTTATGTCATGTGTGATTTAGCCTCCTGTTGAAACGGTCTGTTTTAGTTGTGATAACCTTATCAAGTCATGTCTGCCTGTCATTACAAACACCCAACAACCGTTAACTCAACAAATGAGGAGTCAAACAAAGCCAAAATCGCTGAACAAAATGAGAGCCAAACTATGATGAAGTGACCCTGTTTTCCCTCAAAATAAACTGACCTTTGACAAACCACTTTGTCCCAGACGAAAACCATTTCCTCTCCTATAAACCCATTGCTTGTTAGTCACAGCAAGATCTTTTTGCAACGTTTAACAAACACTTCAAATATGTTTCTATGAGATGAGAAACCTGGTTTAGTCCTGTTTTTAACTGTTTTTCAGCGAAAGAGCAGTTCATTTGATCAATAGGCGCTTTGATTCCATGAGTTTTTAAATGATGAAAATCTGTCATTTCAATGATCAATGGTATCAAAAAGGATGGAAAATGCATATCTTGAGTCATATCTTTAACCCAAAGCCGCCACGAACAGTGATGGTCCTTAAAAAATAGTGACGTGTCTCTTTTGTCCCCTTTGTTGTCTCAATAAGATGCAAAAATGACATGCATTAAATTACTTATCTTACAAACATTCAGAGAGCAGCACTGATGATGCTGCACAAATACACTGGCAGAGTTTTGGTGCTGGAAATGTGCCTGTTTAGTTTTGCAATTAAGACAGTGGGCGGTAGATTCCTTGCATTAATTAGGCAATTAAAGCTAAAAGAATCAACCCAATAGTAGGTGCCTAAGACTTCTACTTTTGTTGCCATGGTATTGGAACAGGTATTGAAATCTTTGGATTTTTACAAGCATATTATCAAAGTTTAAAATTCTGGTTTTGTCACAACCTTTTTCTGTTGGAAGTATTTCACTGTGTCTTACCTTGAAGACACCGAAGCCGATGCTTAAATTCTCTCCACTACCAACCCTTCGCTTGATCCTTATGTCCTTCTGTTGCAGGGAGATGAGGACCTCATCCTCCTCTTTTGTAACATCAAACAAGTACTGTGAAAGACGCGGCATAATGTAGTTAATATGACAAATAAAATGAAAATATGTAAACATGTGAAATAAGACAGGGAATATGAGGATGAAGTCCAATCGGGACCTGTAGTACCTGCGGGTTCTGCAGGAATGTCCGTGTGTGGTTAGCACAGCCGCCGCAGCGGTTTAGCAGGGGCTCTGCATTCTTGGTCCAGCTCCCAAAGTGAACAACCTCGTGCCACGTTTTATGAATGCTGAGCAGTGCGGTGTTGATAAGACGACACACATCTACATCTGTGAAGAACTTGCACCAGTCTGTGAATGACATCCTGTGGGTGTGAGCAAAGAAGGTGTTTTAAAGCTCCCATGAGGAGTTTTCAGCTGGTTATGAAACTGACTGAAATGAACACTGATGACTCTTTATGGGCTTAAAATGCAAATGTAACCATCGGCATAATGACTGTTAATTTTTATATTGATATGTTTACTACCCTGAAACCTCGACTACAGGCTAGGGTGTAAAGTTTCTAACAGCACATTGCAGACACAGCTTGTTTTAATATTTTCAACAGCAACAAATCTTGATGAGAGATATGTTGTATGACCCCATTGTTGACTCAAACCAAAAGTTCCTCAACGGTGGACCGTTGTCAGTACACAAAGTCAATCACTCACCAGAACTCTCCGTCATCTTCTACTGTGATGCCCAGGTTTCCTCTCTCCATATCACCCACCTTTGACCATTCCTCAGAGCTGAAAAAAAGGCAAATAAGATTCTTAAGTAAGTGTATATGAGTTGTTTTTTGTTTTAAAACAGAAAAAAATCCAGGTTGCGGCCCATATACGGACGCTATAATCCTTTGAAGAGGGCGGCCATGGGTTTGAGTCTGACCTGCGACCCCTTTCCTGCATGTCATCCACACTCTCTCTCCCTGGTATCCTACTCTATCCACTGTCCTGTCCAATAAAGGCAAAAAGCCCAAAATAAATATTAAAAAAAGAAGGGGAAAAAAATCCCAAATTTGAAAAGAATCCACCTTTAAGGCCTTTACCTATTGAAGGAGTGACCTTTAACCAAGCAGCAGTTGTGGAAAAATGAAGAACGAGCATCCGCTTGAGGCTGGCTCCAAAAACAAAGGTATTCACGTCAGAGCCCATTTTAAAATTCATGTTTTACGGTAGAATGAACATGTTTACAGTCAAACTGTACAGGGTTGAATTATTTTGATAACTCATTTTGCCGCTGTAACTTTTGCTAAATGTTGCTTAGTGCTGTGCTCATGATGGATTAATGTTGGGTCTTTATAATACAGCAATGAGTAAGGTCTTTTACCTGCTTTTTTAAAAGTGTCGTTAGCTAACATAATATGTTGTGAATGTTATGAATTGGTGCTATACAAATAAAGATTGATGGATCTGTTTTTATTATATTAAAGCTAAGGGTAATGCATAATTAGGGGCGGCGCTGATTTGAGTGACATGCGGGTTTGAAGTCAGCAATCAAGATATCTATTCAGCCCGGCTCATCTCCAACTCTTGATCAGCTGGGAGTTAGTCATAGTCAGCATGCCCTATATGGGACCACCATCCTCTAAAGAAAACAATGGGTGAAGACTGTCCATGTTGTGTGCAGTCTATGCCTTTAACCTGTTCTCACCTGTCACTCCAGGCTCCTTTCCACTCCGTCTTGCCCCAGGGGTTCCTCATGCGAATCAGAGGAATGGTCTCGTTTTTGAAGTAGGCCAGCAGCCCGTGACCTATACGCACCTTCTTCACTGCAGTCACTGAGTATGCGTGACCTTTCACCAACCCGTTAGCCATCCTGGCCTCAATTTCATGAGGCTGTGCCTGAAGAAGAAGAAATCATGAAAGAAAAAAAAACATTTTCAAGCAGTTGTTGAAGTGCAGTGACAAAGATGCCAACAGGAAGGGCACTGACCTTAATGGAGCAGCTTATGATTCCTCCACGGTCGTAGACCTTCAGGAGATCTTCAAACAGCTTGTCTTGTTTTTCTTGGTCCTTATAGAAAGCCTCCTTCTCCAGGTCGATGGCCTCAGCTACAGCCCCACTGAAATCCACCACAGCGTCTCCCGTGTTACCCCCATCCAGGGACTCATAGCACCCAGACAGTCTGCACACAGAGGGTTTAGTTCGTAGATTAAGGTAGGAGCATGTATTAGTCAGAGTGATATGTGCCAGATTTGATGTACATCAGCCATTGCAAAAAAAAGAGAACATTGCTTTTATTTTCTGCCATAACTGAACTGAACTGTCTCTACCTTTCACCAGTTGTTGTTTAACTCTTATAACAGAGACAGAGCTCAAAACAAGATTCTCTGGAAATCAGGCCAACAAGTGGAAATAATTGGTGCCACAGCCACACATAGACATTATAGAAAGATGTACCAAATGTCAATGCCCAATAACTGAATCCAAAACATTTCGATCTCCCGTCCTGTCTGGCTGTAGAACTGTCAGGACATGGAATCAAAGTACACGTCAAATAAAGTTGTCCTAAACATGGCTCCTGTATTTAAAGCTTGTTAGGATCGTCAAGTGGAAACATGACAAACACAAGAGTAATTAAACTACCCACAGCAGTGTCTGCTTCAAACCGACACATGAATCTGATCAGCTGTGGACAACCGCTGCAGAGTCAATGATGGTACCAAATGCAACCACGGTCTAAAATACACACAATGCAAATAGCTAGTTAGTTAGGAGAAGTGTTACCAGTAAGATGTTAATGTTAGCATACTTGGCATAGGCCTTCTCCAGCAGAGCGCTCCAGAACTCGTTGTTGTCTTTGGAGTGACAGTAAATCAGCTCTCCGTTGATTGTGGGCAGCCGGTCGTCCACCACAACATCCACCCACTCTCCAGACACCCAGAACTGAAAGTGGAAGATTCCCGCATAATTCTCTGGGTGTTTAGGATCCCACTCTTGATCCTTATGGTCAGGAATTACCTGTAAACACAAAACAACGCAAATTAAAAGATATCAGTGTGACTAGTGGGTCTTTTTCCAGTTCAGGCAGTGGGTTTTTCGGCTGACCAAAAATGGTAAATATAGCCCCTGTATTGTGTGGTAACTGGGAGACTTTCATAAGATAGTGACAAAAACAGTAATGAGGCCGTCTAATCACACATACAGTTTAACACTTCAGCTAAATGTTAATAAGTGGTATAATAATAATAAGGGATTAGGTGTAGGATAGAGTCAGCTAAAATGAGCCATCAGGAAATGGGCCAAATAAAGCTGGAGCATCAAAGAGCTTTAAAATTTCCAAGCCATCACTATGACTGATTTTGCATTGTCGCTATAGCCTAACACTAACTGACAGTGCGGATGTAAATTAGCTTTAAGATAAGTAATGGCAACATTTAGGCTTATGTTTATTGTACATGGTGTCTGTACAAAAGAAAATGATCAAATTAAAGGCTATTTGACAACAGTTTTTATTGGTCCGAGGTTGAGGTGGGCAGGGCAGTGTTACCTGACAGAAGTGGTAATGTAAGTTAGCATGACATAGCACAAATGACTCATCACTAATAAGGGGTATGAAGCAATTTCAAATGAAGTTTACCAACACAGCAAATTGTGTATTAGCCTATTAATCATTTGACAGGCTCTTTAAATAAAAACAAAAAAGATTAAAATGTTAAAAGAAACTGATTTTTGTGGAAAAGGTTATTTCTGACACTGGCCCATTGTTGCTAAGCCAGCTAGCTAATTAGCTAATCACAGACTGATTTTCAGCTAAGTTGGGCAACAAAAATATACACTTTTAAGGAATTTAAGGGGGAAACAAGATCTTAGGTCTTAACATGTATCCATGAAAAGTCTTATAAATCCTCTTGTAAAATATGTGTTTCAGACAGTGTAACAGGAGTTGTGTTCCCCCTCACCAAAAGAGGTGTTACTGAACGGATGGCCCATTTTACCTGAACTTTGTGGTGGCTCTAGGAGTGAACATGTTGACACCTTTAGATCCCATAAATAAAAGACAACTTTATTTTCACATTTTATTAATTACTAATAAAAATGTAAGTGATGTTCATTTATAAAAAGTCATTAGATCTTTTGCCTATCATACTTGATGGTTTACATAAAATATGAAAAACTGTACTAAAACAGTTGTAGCCAGATCCACTACATAAAAAGAAGCCTATCTAAAGTTCAGCAGGAAATATAGAGATATTTTTTCTTCCTATAACTTCCTAAGACTAATGCTGTGCTTGTTAAGAACACTCATTATATCAAATCAGACACTTAAGTTGTATTTATCTATTTGGATTGAAACATGGCACTTTGTGAACTTTTAACCAGAGGGAACTACTTCAGAGATAAGACCAGAAATGTGACACTGTAAAGCATCCAAAGACTCACATGGGCTCTATCTGATACATTTTTTATAGACTGTTCTCCGAACATGAGACTGAACATCCTGAGACATTTTTCTCACAAACCTTGCTACACAAAGCTGAACATGAAGTTTGTTGCTGGCAATTGATAATCCTATCTTTCATTTTCTCTTACATTGTTTTCCCTTATTAGACTGTGTTTAGCACTGTTTTAATATTTAATGGGATCCTGCAACAAATTATTTGTTAATTAAGTTTAGAACTCTATCTCCAAAGCATCTGCACAAAGTTGAAAAGGATTTCTAAATTGCTTAGTTTTAAGATTTAAAAGCGCTGTGAATGTGAAAGTAAAATCCTGAACAGTTAATCTCAAGTTAATAGAAATGGTGTGAGATTTTAGCTTGTATCTACCAGCAAAGACAGTTTAATAACAAAAGTCAGTTTCCCAAAGGAATTTGGTTGTTCTGTAAATCATGAGTGAACCCCTCAGGTGAATTCCTGCTGGCCTAATTTAACCTGAGCATTCAACATGTTTTAACAATCAGTGCTGCTCTACCGGCAGCAACTGAATAAACTTGTTCCTTTTGTTTTTTACCAGCATTCATTTCGCCAGCTGCTAATCTTACACATTCAGAATAAAGTCAACTCACTTTCTTCCAGAGGTTTGGTTTCAAAGCCAGACAGGAGCAAGCAGCAACAAACCAGCAGTTTCCCACCAGTCCCTGGTTCAGGTCGTGGGCGCTGATGCCCTCCACAAACAGATGTGGATCAGAGCTTATCTCCTACAACAGAAAAAAAAAGGTCATGGCGATATGGAGTTTAGAAAACTAAATTTAAGTTTGGTATGTACTTAGAAGTATGGAAGCCCAATCAAAATCAAAAATCAAAATTATGAGAAAATAAAGTCATAATTATGAGATAAAAAGTTGAAATAATGAGATATATTTTTAAGTTGTCACAAGCTAAAATTATTTCGACTTTTTATCTCATTATTATGACTTTATTATGTCATAATTTCGTGAAAAAATAATTTTTGAAGACACTATCTGCCTCAAGTATATACCTCATGTAGACTGAGTTGCTCTTTTGTAAAGTGTCATGAGAAAATAAAGATTTATTGAGTCACTGATTGATTACATAATTTCTTATGTTTATTTCAGCATCCTTTGCACTCTTCACCATGCACTCTTGTCTTATGTAGGCTTCTACAGATGACTTTAATATTTAATGTTTTATGTTTGGCATGAAGAGCAAAATTAACCAACGTCAAACTCCTTGAATATGTACCTGACCAGTAAATTCATTTTGATTCAGAATTTTTCTTGTAAACATTTATGGTGTGAGACAATAAACTTTACAGACCTTTATTTTTCTAATGCACTCTTTTATCAAATGCTATTTTAAATAATGTACTAGCAAAGTACTGAATAGTTTTTTTAAATGAGAAAAATTAATAGGATAATAAATGTAAAAATGCAGAAAGTTATTTGTTTATTTCTGTTTATCAAAAATGGAAAGTCAATCTCAGATCTTGTGTCACTGAACTCTATAATGATTTAAAGTGCCTTAGAATTTTATTTATTCTTCGAGACAGTCCACATGTCATCGATAAAAGTTTGGAACTGTCTTTTCAGATTACTGAAGTGCCCCTGTATAGTAAAATGTAACAAAGTTCCTAAGCAGCAATAATTGGTTTCCCAGCTGGCCCTTGTGCCACTCACCCCGGGTCGTTTCCACTCCACATATCCAGGAAGTGGTTTCCTAAAGAACAGAGATGAATTGTTGGCTGGGAACTCTGGGTCCTCGAACAGCTTCTTGTCTCTGATACAATCCCTCTTCAGCTCGCTGTAGTGTTGGTTTTTGTACGGGACAGCGGAGGAGAACATGTTGCACACGCTGACCTCTCACAGCTGCAGAGTGAGGACAGACAAGAGGCGGTTTCTGACTTTATACAGTGTTTAGTATAACTTTGTGTGGGCAGGATCTCCCTCTCACCTCTGACCCTGAGCATTTTTTGGACAAAGCCTGCACACTGTAAATCTACTTCCTCAGATTTACAGCAGACTGGTCTATGACCCACACTCTCTTTAGACACAAATATACACAGTGCTTTTATGGTAAGATATGCCAAGTTATTCAAATGGAAAGTTCTGAATCTCTTTTTTTCTGATCCCAGACAAGACCCCAAATTGCTTAGTCCCCATGTGGTTGGCCAGATGATGAGGGGAACAACAATTAAATACTAATCGGGGAAAAGATGAAGGTGGACTGAGAAATAACAAAACGCTTACCAAAGTGCTGCACGGTGAGAAAAGCAGACATAAACACACAGAAAATGGATCAAACCCATAAAAGGCACGTAAAAAAATGTAGGTAAAAACATGTAAAAGCACACAAGAACACTTTTAAATACATGAAAACATACACATAACACCGTTCACACATAAAAACCTGTAAATCAAATTAAAAATAGATTAAGAAAATACAAAAACAGATACACAGAGACCATACAACTTCCATGCTGGGTTAAAAGCCATATAATCAAAATAACTTTTAAGGCATGATATAAAAGTTTTTAATTGGGGGCCACTGATACACCTACACCTCTATTTTTCAACCTAATCTGAAGGACCACAGGAAGCTGCTGATCAGCAGACCTTATGGACTTTGAATATTATCAACACCAGCTTTTTAAAAACTGCATTACAAAATCTCAACCAAATGACACAGTCAGTCAGTAAAGTTATCTTCTGGTTAATATGGAGCAATCTACATTTCTAGAGAAATTCCCTGAAGCTGACTGTGTCTGACAGGCCAAATAATTCACAAATGCTTTCAAAATAAGACAATCACAAAACGACAAAAACAAACAAACAGAAGCTGTAAGGCTGGATTTCATCCTTTTAAGAAAAGTTCAACTGTAGTTAACTGTGTTCAAGGCGGAATAATTGATGAAAAACACAGCTGTATTCCCTGGAAAATGAGGATATTTTAACTTTTAACCTCTCACACTGACCGCTCAGGACTGCGTTTGGACTATATGAGCCAAAATAATTCTTGCCAAGAATAACACACCATAGATCCCTGGATTTAATTTACTGGGAGCAACAAGCCCTAACTTGAGAGGAAGTTCTCAAGAAGTCCCAAAACGATGTTTTTAAAAGTTAAATAAATAGCCTACGTTATAAAGAAAAAACTAAATGAAAGCAAAACTTAACGTATTGAAGTATACAGTACAGTTAATAAGGAGGGGAGGATATTTACCAGATCAGATTGTAACGACTCCAACACAAAATCAGGTAATCTCGGAGTTCAATTAAAAGAGAAACTCTCCGCAGCTCTCTCAGTCTGACACTCACTCCTTCCTGCACCACAATAAGGAAGTTTCCAGGTGAGTTACCTGTCTGTCTCGCCCTCCCACACACCAGTGGCCGACATGTGCATGTGTATACCGAGAGCCACACCCTTTTGCTCTTGATTTTGTCACCTCCATGTATTGTTTAACTCTTGAATTTAATATTAGGAGGAAGGAGTAAATCACGTTCAGCTAACGCGCTTTGAGATGAGGACAATAAATCTTTCTGAGGCTCTGTGTTCAGGGGGAAACAAGGACGTGACTGAATGGTGTGTGTGTGTGTGTGTGTGTGTGTTTTTTGTATGTTATCTGTCTGAGAATTCCTGGCTACTGTGCTCAGACAGGCTATTTGTGGCTGGATATTTTATCATCATGAGTTCATCATAACTGTAAAGTTATCTTATAGTTATTTCTTATACCCTTTGATTAATCCTTGTAACATATGTTGAGGTGACTTCAATTCACAATCCAGATGCTTCCGCCATACATACCAGTTTACGATGGTGACGTACAGACATTGTTTAGTGTTAAGTGTTTTTCAGTGTTGTTTACAGTAAGGAAATTAATACATATGATCAGATAAGAGTCAGAGTGTTCACCTGACTTGAACTTTTCTACATGTTACAGTGTCCAACTAGGACTACAAGTAGAGTCATTTGGGCTTTTTACCATTTAATTAACAAACCAAGGCAGTTCTTAAACCAAACATAAACAAGTGAACCTGAAGGCAAATGAGTTCATTTGATCTTACTGAAATCACAGCAAAGCATTCAAAACTTCTTATAATTTGATTTGGAAATAATTTAAAATACCTCAAAAATGTCACCTCTTTACTTGAACATTTTGGACTATTTTAAAGTTTGTCTCTTCCATAAAATCATTTTTAAAATATTCAAATGCTCAAGTTGTTACTTACTCAATAGTTTTGCATGGTTCTGTAAATCCTCAGGCTGCAGCCATGTTTAAATAATTCACATTTTAAGTGGGAATTTGCGCTGACTCACATGAGAAAAATCTATAAGTGAGGTTTAAAATGCCTAGATTACTGATAGACTCTTTACAGAAGTCAGCACATGTCATTTAGCTGTCAACTGATTCATTGGTTGCAGCCAAGGAAGGAACCCAAGAGGTCTTATTGAGAAATATTCGATGGCAATCTTATTTAAAAAAACATTTATCCAATAAATGACATAACCTGAAAACCATGAAGCCATATGAAACATAAGATTGTGAGGAAAGCTTATAGTGTAAGAAATATAGTAACACTCACCTGTGGCGAGCTCTCTATTCCTTAAAGTGATGAGTTCAAACTCATTCAACGCCCTCTCAGGCTCCTGTGATGTGTGTTCAAGTCAATCCCACATTTCTTTCAGAGAAACTGTTTTATTAACAACAGATGTACAGGAGCTAACCCTGTTACTCCAGTTTGATCTTCGGTCTGCGAGGGCTTCCCGGGATACGTTCCTGTGCACACAAACAGTGAGTAAAACTGGTCTGACGAGCACCTCTCTGCAGCTGGAGGTGTTACCAAAAGGCTGATATGGTGACTCTCTAGAGACGGTAAGCAGAGGGGAGAAACAGAACACCTTCACTCCCAGCCTTTAGAGGTGAAACAAGCACAAACTTGCCCCCTTTGTCTGTCTCATCTTTCACATTTGCAACAGAAAAATACCATAAAATCTCAAAATAGTCTTTGTTAAATCTTTGTTGTTTTTTCACCAATAAAAAAAAGAAAAAGTCTGCAAGTTAGCCAGAGGTCTACAGAGGCCCTTAGTGGACATGCATCTGTGCATTTTATTTATTCCATTTTCCTGTAACAAATCATTTTTGGTTGATTTCTCAAGATCTCAACTTATTTTTATTGTTTATTGTCTCAGGATAACAACGTTGTTTCTTCTCGTGATAACTGATACTATTATGATGATGTAGAAACCAAAACAATAGGCTTACCCCTGTGGCCAAACCACAACATGCCATGCTGCCATTGCCCACACTAATGAGTTAAGTTGAGCCTATTTCTATCGTTGTTTTGTGCTTTTACAACTCTGGATATGAAATACACAAGTTGAGATCTTGAGAAACTACCTGAAATGTATCATCAAAGAAAACTGAGTAAATACAACAATATGTATATTTGTCCACTTAGGGCTTCCGTAGAGGTCAGTCAAATTGAACAAACACATGTGCTCTTAGGGTGAACTGTGGTAATAAGACAACCTGGCAGCCTCTAAGTGGTCCAGGCTCTACTTTGAAGGAGCACTTTGACTCCATGAATCACCCTGATAAATCTCGTCCAGATTATTCCTGCTTTGAAACAGAGGGCAAAAGAGGGAGCTGATGAAGAATGTTACAGAGAGCCAACAGTAATAAGGTAAATCCATGCAAGAGCTAAGACGACAGGCTGAAGAAAATCCTAATATGAAAGTGAATCATTTGGATTAGCAGTGATATAAGAGTGAGGACCAATGCAGGGCTTCAGATATGATCACAAGTTCATTAGAAACTGAAGGAAAAGAAGAAGACACAGTGTGTGAAATGTAGAAAGAAGAATTTACTCTCAGTAAGGCCTGAACATGTTGCGTTCACTGTCAGCATTGCTCATGATTTATGACGGGCTGAGTTGTAGGGCTGACAGGGGCACTAGGGAAAAAGTCAAGAAGTCACGAAAGCCTGAAGACCACCTTCATAGAGTATATAAAACATGGACGTAATATCAGTGACGTCACCTATTAGTTTCTGAAGAGGCGTTATGAAGCCGGACAATGATGGTCGCCATATTGGAAATGTAAGCTCCAACTAAGTTCTAGATTATCAAGAAGCAGAGAAGAGGTAGAATTGAGGCGGCCAAATTAATATCTTAATTCCGAGAAACCACCCATCTAGCTTGTCTAGCTCATTATCTACTGACTATACCTTAAGATGTCTGTGGAGGTTCTCAGTCATCCAGGTCATGGTAAATTAAAGCTTCATCCAAAGGCTACTGGGCTTAATTGAAGATCTTGAAGACGTTTCACCTCTCCTCTGAAAGGCTTCTTCAGTTCTAAACTATCTGATCAACAGAGCTAGACATTTTCACCTCTGTGGATCATCATTGCTGTTGATCATTGCTTAAGATCCACAGAGGATCATTGCTAATGACCACCAGTTAGTTTATGAACTGAAGAAGCCTTTCAGAGGAGAGGTGAAAAGTCTTCAAGATCTTCAACTAAGTCCAGTTTCCTTTGGATCAAGCTTCGATATTCCAAATGATAAACACGTACAGAACGAATAAACAACACAAACAAAGCCGACAGCTTTAGGTCAGTAACTGGATTTAGTTAAAGTAAAGCAAAGCCTCCTGGCAAACAGCTACAACGTACCTGCTGTCAGTCAAATCAGCCAGGCCACTTATTATGATCAAATATGCATAGCTTTCACCAGTAACCAATAAACAGCCAGTAAACAACAATACATGTTTTTTAACATTATTTATATGGTTATTCTTCTATAATGATATTTACATTTTGTACTTTGGGGATCAACAGTTGGACTTTTAAGTCAGAGTGTGATGACATCTGTCTGTTGGTCTGTACTGCCAACAATTTGATCTTGAGAAAAATACATGACCTGTTGTAAGTTTTTTATTTAAAATTTATGGTCACAATTATAAAAGATCCCTTTGTTACCTTTTGTCCACTCAAGTTCTTTGTGGTTCACAGACTTTAACAAGACTGAAATTACATTCTGGGGAACATTACCTTGACCTTTAAACTTTTGAAAACTCAAGATGATTGAAAAATATTTCAGTCAGACTCACGTTTGTGTCGTTTCAAATATTTATTGCAGCGGAACATGATTGTGTTTGGCCTAATCACTCCTCAAAGTTTACATTTCACATTTTCGCTGAAATTGAGAAGTAATGGGATGATATCTTAATCCCCCCCAGTCTGAGCCTCCATGTGGATGCTGGGGTGGTGGTGGGGCTGAGGAAGAGTGCAGTAGTGGTGCAGGTTTAGAGATGGGCGTGAGAGAGCAGAAGGAGAGAGTGGACATCTTGCAGCTTAAATAGACCGCTAATTGAAAGGAGGTGTTGTCAGGTGATTGTTGAGCATGAGGCATGTCAGGTGTGAAATCAGTCAGCTCGAGTTGACTGCCTGTACTAGCTCGCAGGCGTCACCTCACTTCAGAAACTCAAATACGATTTGACTTTTTATCTCCTTGTCCTCTAGTGCCACCCTGAGGACAAACTCTGCATTGTCGTCCTGAAATCACTATGTTTTACACTTCACTTACCACAATGCTTTAGTCTTCATATGTGGTAAATCAAGAACATCATTGCCTCTTATTGCCTCCAACAGAATAATATGAAGGAATAATGATGAGATTTAGACTTTTCATTGTTCTTCAATATATTCCAACTGAGATCTGTCTGGCTCTGTCTTGTTTCATAATCACTTTGAGCCCCTGTTGAGAGCGGAGATACGTTTTGGGGACTCGTTATCCATGTGTTGGAATTCAATAAAGAGGTCATAGGAAAGATCTTTTCAGACAATATTTGAAAACATGAAACAATTTCTCTCAAACCCAGAGGGCAGCGAGCTTTAACCGATAATGTCATCAAGATGTGAAGGCTGAAACGGATTTGGAGCCGGAGATGTGGGTTTATCATGAAAACAAAGGGTATTTGGACTGAGGGAACATTCTCTGGGACAAAAGGAAATAGCTGGAAGAAAAGAATCCATTAACTGGTCTGCTCAGAAATATCAGGAGGAGTATTGTTCTCAAATATTGACTGTACCTGCGGTATCCGACCTTGGGAATTACAAATATGAATCCATAGATAAAGTTACTCTTAAAGCCTGTTTTCCCAAAGCAGTTCTCCTAAGAAAACAACCTGAGGATATTTACTACATTTTGTAATCTAATGTCTTTAATTTGCTTTTTAATTTCTTTTAAGTTTTTATCATTCATTTTGAATTGCTCTAAACTGTGTTTTAAACTTGCCTTGCCAAATAATAAATCATGTATTAAACTCTGCCATGCAGTTTTAATGTATCAAAATGACGGGTTAACCACGCTCTTGCATTTATATAAACATAAACAGTATATTCTACCTTAAATGAATCCCTGTTTAAATCAGACCAAAAGTTAGAACAATTCTACAATTCTACAAAAAGTAGGAAACAATGTCAGTATGCGCAAACAATCAGCTTTGAGTCCGATTGGACACACAGGTGATGACAGACAGAACAAACCCTGAAGCATCTTGCAGCCTGACTTCTGTCGAAACATTTGAAAGTAGTCACAGAGAAATGACTTATTTTTGTCTGAACTTTTAGGATCATAACCTCACAGGAGCCAGAAGTGTTTATGACAAAGACAGACATTGATTGGTTAGTGCCATTGTTAAACATGTATAGTCTTTTGACTGTGTGTTTACAAATTGACTGTGTGTTTACAAAGTGAGATAGGGACTGATAACATTTAAGTGCCTTTTTACTTTCCTTCATGCAAAGTCAATTTTAGCGGAATTCAAATGTTAACCTAGTGAAGCTTCAAAATATTCTTAGTTTTGTGAGAAATGTCATAATAAAGTGTGTACACATAATAACCAGCAGATGGCAGGATATTCATGAAGATAAAAAATGTGTCTTTATAAGTTCTTCTACATTGTTAAAGTAGTTCTTGTTCCCGTCTTGCCAAAATAAATCCAACATACGTGCAGGAGATAACAGTCTAAAAACGTATCTGTCCTGTTGTGTGATCCTGCTGGCTGTAAACTAAATTGCCCCTTGGGGAAAATAAAGGAATCCTTTTAGCCTTGCTAAAAAAAAAAAAAAAAAAGGCGTGTGTGTATCAATACTTGAGTCATACAGTAGAGGGCGCCAGATCAAAACATACTCTGTCAGCCTCAGATGTCAAAAGTCAGCACCTTGTCATATTCTAACAGTGTGAAAGAAGAGGGGCCTTCTCCGGCAACAACACAAACGTAACAGATATGTGCAGCTATGATCTGGATGTATCTTAATAAATCTACAAGACGGTGCATTTTTGTGTACCAAACAGTGAGTATGTAAGTCACCCCTCTCATCCCCCTGCATGACACAGTGTGGGCTCTGAGCAGCTCCTCTTCCACCCTGTAAGAAAGAGTGCTACTGTAGGTCGTTCATCCCATCTGAGGTCAGACTGTTTAACAGCCTCACCACCACATGACTCACATGTTTTACCTGACTGTTTCATAATCCTCATCATCATCAATATGCTATCACTGTGTGTGTTTTTAATAATACATTTTCTCTGTCTTTACACAAGTGAAAGTGTACTCCTAGTTTAATTATTGTATTACTATTGTATGTTTCTTCTTATATGTAATTACTGTAAATATGTTTCTTTTAAAATTTTGGCTATTTTGCAGATTCTACTCCTTTTTCT